TAACCGGTAAACTTCTGGACAGAAGATCTGAGAACTTAATCTATTCAAAGTAAGGCAATTCGATTCGATTTACGTCCCCGTAGGCTTTACAAATTTAATTTTTGTTCCATTTTAGTTTTCCAAATTAATTAAACAGTTCATTTAATAGTCTGAAAAACATGTTTAAAATAGTTACCATGTAAGATTTTTCCCGTATTTATTTCCGGATTTTGCCGATAGGAGACCCAATTCTCGAGGTTCACAGCCTATAATTTTGTTAATTTTAATCTGATTCCAAAGTGGCATACCTCTAAACGTTTGTAATCGCATCCTTAATAAAACTGCATTCAAAGTTTTTCATTTTCCGATGGTCTAAATTTTGACCCCTGTTCATGTAAGATTTTTCAAGTTCTCAATGGTTTGGTTAAATGAATTAAGAGTACTTACTTTTTTTATTAACTGAAATGATAATTTTGGGCCAATAATTTAAATATATATTTAAGTATTTTAAAGAAGCCAATTAGTGATTCAGTTTTACTGAAGAAATCCCAGTAATTGTAGAAAATGAAGCTTGTATATGCATTCAAAAGTCAAATAAAAGTTTAACCCCAAATTCAATAGTCAGAAACCGATAAGCTTTAATACAAATATTCTCAACTGGTTTCATTTTAAGCAAGGATATTTGATCGACTTCCCTTTGCGCCAAAACCACACATTGTTGTGTGCGACTCGAGCAGGAATATGTGGGTGGCACAGTCATTTCCGCAATGTATTCTGACTTGAGGCATTTTCAAGATGATGGATAATGGCATTCAATTTGCGGAATTGCTGGGCTTGAGTTCGATTCTCTAGTGTGTGTGAGTGTCCTTGCCGAGTGTCTGGCTTAAATAGTTACGTCAATTAATTTACAACGCATTGTCAGACCGTTGTCGTGTGCATTATAAATGATTTGTGTGTGCCGGCCTGCCTGCCTGCCTGCCTTTTGCCTTTCCCATTGCGTGTTCATTGGCTGTTCAGAAGGGCGAAGGGGGGTGACCCCACGCGTTTTATGGGTCAACAGCAGCGGTGACCTCGTTTGTGGGTTAACCCTAAACCTTATCCGCCTGCATTTCGATTTCGAATCAGGGGAATCAGAGGAATGAATCGCAACGCAATGCAGGAGGGAAAAAAACGGAACGGCGACGACCCTTCAAACTATTTGCAGTGCTTTGCTAATTTTCATTGCCCCACTTGAGTGAATGGCATGCCACAAAAGCCCCTTAAATATTCATGGGCCAGAGTTGAAGTCGAGTTAAATGACACAAGAGCAGCCCACTCACTCGCTGCGTTCGCCGGCAACGAACGTTCGCCGCTCTCTTATCAATTATCAATTAACCTACATTTTAGCCTTTGCGATTTTGGCACGGCCAATGACAGTCAGTTCGCAGGACCCTCCTCCTCCTTCTTCTCCTCCTTTTGCCAGCCAGGATGTCACTCGAAGTCGTCGTATGTGCCAGCTGAAAACTAAAGCAAATGCGCAACGAAGATGGAGCATTTTCCAAACGGAAGCTGACATCCGCCATCGCAGGTGGATAACTTTCTGATTAGCGAGAGAGCATTTTCAACCTGTTCACGTGGTCTTTTGCCAAAAAGTGCTTGGAATTGGCCACGGAGAATCGATACCATTAAACAAAGTATTTTTTTTAAATCTTTTGCGGTTTTAGCTAGAAAGAAACTATCCGATAACTTGTAATATATTAACCTGATCAAGATAAAACAAAAAATTAAGTTTAAAATTTTAAACTTTTGCTTTTAAACGTTGATTTCCTAATCAAGATTTTATGTTGGAATTATTATTATAAACTATTAAACTACTAACAAGTGCACTAAAGATTAAAAACTTTTTTATGTTATGACAACTAACGTAAAATTTTAACTATTTTTAAAATGCAAAAGTTACCCCAATAAAGATTTTAATGCAAAGCGATATAAAACCATACGAGCTTTCTGTTTTCACAATTTCTACCTTCAACAGTTTGAGGTTGCCAAATATTTTCCCCTGATATTGTTTGGTGTTGGTGTTCAATGGGCAAGGAAAACAACCTTCCACTTGCTGCAGTGCGATTATTTTGACCGCATTTATATGCGGGCGGAGGACAAATTTCAGATCTCTTGGCTCTGACGACCCTTGACAATAATCATTTTCATTACTGTAAAATGTCAACAGTGTCAGCCAGTCCCCTCGAGCAGCCTTTGCATCGGTCCTTGAGGCAGGACATGTAGCTGAAATTTGATGATGCAGCAGCAGGAGCAGAAAAACACCAGCTGCTCCATCTGCTTTTCCTGCTGCTGCTGTTGCTGCTGTGACGAGCTAAAGGATCCATTCTACATCGCAGCCAAATCTAAAACAAACAACCGAACTGAGCTGCGTTCGGATGATTTGAGACGACGAGTCGAGTTGAGCCGGGTTCAACTAAGCTCTTTCAAGGCGAAACATTGACAACATCCCACTAGGTGCGCCCCGGGGCGACATTTTGCAGCTACTTTTGCTCCCGCATCCTTTTCTATTTTTTTCATGCCCCCTGTCATATCCTTTGGCTATGGCCAAAAAAAAAAAAAAAAAAGAAAAGGAAAATCTACAAAAAGAACAGAGTTTCGACGTCTAGAAGACGTGCATTTGCTCAAGTGGAAATGAATTGAACTCGGGCAGCAGCAAAAGCAAAGCAGCAGCAGTAGAATGCAATCTCATTCTCTTGTCAACTTAACCTCGACTGCCAGGATGGCATCGAGTCCTCGATGACGCCCGGCTGTGCCATTTGTTGTTGTTCTTGTTGTTGTTGTTGTTGCTGCCCATTGTCGTCAGAGGAGCAGCCATTTGGAGGCAGGAAGAGCACAGTGGGTCTCAAAATAAATGCATTAGAAATAGGAAATTAGCTAAATAATTGCATAGAAGTATGACTCGAAATAGGGTTTTCCCCTAAGAGCTTTGTCCTGAAAACAATCATTAAAAGAAAGTATTTCTAAATTAAATCAAAAAATAAATGTGTATTTTCTGTATCTTAATTGTTTCTATAATTTAACTGACTTAAAAGATCTTTCTAATGGACTTTAGAATCCCAGCTTTTTATTAATTTATTTTGAACAATAAAGCACCGATAAGATATGAATTAAAAAGAAAGGATAATCCACTTGTATTGTTAAGATGTTGTAAATTTCTTTAAAAAGTCATCACAAGGTAATTATTTTTTGAACAACTCAAAGAAGGCATTTTCTCTGAGCAAAGACTTCCTTTGTTCTGAAAGATGGCCAAACGATTTCTCAGCCCAATGGAATCTTATCTGCTTTGATATATCTCTGAGCGACCACTGTGTGACGACTATTGTTTGTGCGTTTGTTCTGCAGCTTTGCTGCTGCTGCTGCTGCTCGATTTTTTCTTTAAACAATGGCCCGAGCATTTTTGATTGTCAAATGTTTGCAGAGATAACATTTACTATAGCGGATTTGCAGTGGAGCGTAGGAGATGGCATTGCGACGACAGCACGGCAAAATGGAGAGAGTGCTGTAAGCGTTTGCTAAGCTGGCCCTTTCTGAAGTTTTGAAATATATATATATCAAGAAATATATATATAGCTGGGGTGATAGCATCAATTTGTAATGATCTTATAAGTGCTTGTATTGTGCCTTTGTCTGCTGGCATTCTTCCTTCCTTCCATTCTTCCTGTGTGTGCGGTTTATAAACAAATGTCTCGGAAAAGTTTCCGCCAGTCAATTAAACGGCAATTAGAGGGACTCCATTGTGTCAGCATCCAAGTTCCAAGTTCCAAGGGGGAGCACTCAGAAGTCGGAGGGTGTGTCAAGTTCACACCGCTCGGCATTTCAATTAAAATCCAATTTCCCCGGCGGAAGTGCTTAATTATTGGATATTAGCCAAGAGCTTCACTCAGTCAAGGACTCTTGACACCCGATTTTCTGCAAGCTGACAAACAATTTCCTGAAAGTTGATCGATAGCTGCTGCTGGCATTAATTGAATGCTCTTTGGATTTGGATATTGGATAATATCATTCGATATAGCCACATTGTTGTTGCCTACTTTCCTGGTTACTGGTAACGAGTGCACGTGTCGGAAATACTGCTCTGAATTTTACGCTAATTGAAATTGCAATCGAATTACTCGACGCGACTGAAACTGCTGCGGCTGAAGGCATAAAGGCCAATGAAAATATAATCACATTTATGCAGTTTTTATGCCAGCAATGTAAATATTTTCGTTGTAAACATGTGAATGGTGAATGGCGGATGGCGAATGGCGGAGTGCTCATGCCGGGAATTACGAGTATGACTGGCCGTCAACGACAGCAGCCGTTTGGCCATGGCTGAATAGCCATAACGTCACATACAGAAAGATAGAGATACAGATACTGCTACAGATACAGCTGCAGATAGAGATACAGTTGCAGATACAACTACACACACATGTCTGTGGTCCTGGCCAGCAAAGTCCTTTGGCTGGCCTGAACTCGATTCCATTTCGAGTTCATTGAATTTGCGCAGATCTCTCTTCTTTTTCATTCGACCGTTTTCATGCCCCCTCGGTTAGTGCATTAATAAGAGCAATAAGAGGGCCAATAGTGGCGTGAAATTTATGAAATCAAAGTCACACTTACACAGGCGACACAGGCGACAGGATATGTGCATAAATGTATTTTTGATATAATTGCATTTTCCACTCCAGCGCTTCGTTGTTGCTGCCCGCCCGCTGATTGCGTAATTTAATAGTTCGTCCGTGGTTGAATAATTGGTTTTAGGTAATATTGACATGTGGACTGGTCGTTCAGCTGTTGCATTATTAATGCGAACTGAAGAGCGTGGCGTTTCCGCTTTTCCGGCGCTTTTCGGCGGAAACCCGCTCGAAATTCCCGTCACACGTACTTTTATGATAAATGATTTGGCCCAGCAGATGTGGGCTTGTGCTTTGTGCGTTGATGTCACGTCCTGATCATTAATTATCTCAACTTGTTTTTGCTCTTGTCTCTATTTGCAGTTCAGCGAGCACTCGGATAAAGGTAAACAAACAAAAAAAAAAATACAAAAAAAAGAAGAAAAAAAGAGGGAAAACCCTTTGTATTTACGACCCAGGCGTGTCGAAATTGACAAGCGTAGCGTATCGTTGGCCCAGACAAGCGTAATCACTCCCAGGATTCCCGGGCATGATTAGGCCAAAAGCAGGAGGAGGATTCCACGAAACCAGTTGACCATCTGACCTGATGCCCTGCCGACCAGACCGCACGTAAGCCAGTGGCAAAGTAAAACTTTTAACGAAAACTGACAACCGCAATGACCAAAGTGTCATAAATCCATAAATCCATAACCGAGCGTCAACAACATCAACAAACAGTTTGTTGTACGACCTACAGCGACATGTGACGTCGCTCAGGATTCCGTTCCACATAGAGAAAAGCCCGCAGGTTGATATTTTTCCCATCAATTTGTTTGGCCACAAAATAATTGTAATCTTATCAATATTGCAAGTGGTAATATGAATAACCAGTAATTCGTGGTTTGCCTGAAATCTCTGGAGATTACAAAATAATATATGTAGTGCCAAAAAGCAGGCTATTAAATATTTAAATGCATTTCGCAAAGGGGAAGGACAATAAATATTGTTTACTGCAGAACGCAAAAAACAATTTATCAGAAACTCGGTAATAGAAATTACACAATAAATAAAAAATAAAAGATTTTAAAATAATTGCATTAAGAGGAATAAAGGACTGTCGTAATTTTAGACAGGTAAAGCCAACGATTTTTATACAGTATTTTCAAAGCATCCAATTTCCTTTTCAAAGCTAATATAATATATCACAGATAGAAAGCCAGGAAAAAACCTTTGCTGAAATGATGAATAACCCCTTTTATGAGCACTTTAGATGCCATTTTTCACTGTGCAGACTCCAGGCCCTCGGGGGAGTGTCAGCTTGGCGGCCAATGAACTAAATAACCCTCAATCGGGCCGCGATGGAGGGAAGGAGAGGGGGGGAAGAGGTCCCCAGACAGGCGGTACACGACATAGTAGTAGCGGACCGAAAAAGCTCTCATGTCAACCGCAGTCGGCGGACTGGCAGACAAACATATTGACGATGGCGATGGATTCGCGATGGTTGGTGGTTCGGCGGTTCCCTGCCACTCGAATCTCGTCTCGCGTCTGCCAGATAAAATGAAGTATATCTCGCCAGTTAGTCAATATACATATGTGTGTGAGCTTGGATGTTTGAACCAGCGGGGTCATGTGTGTGTGTGTGGAAAAAACAAAACACTTTTCAGCAGGACAACAACAGCAACAACAAGAACAACAACTATAACAACAAACAACTTACATGGGGGGCGGAACAATATTGTTTGTGTCGAAGTTTATCGATAAGTTGTCGTCGTCGTTGTAGCTCCCTGAAAATCGCATCAGCAAAAAGAAAAAAAATAAAGAAAAAACTTAAACGCACAGTGGCGCATAAATTAAATTTCGAGTCGACGTCGACGCGTGGCCATAAAAAATCATAAAAATATATTAAATTTATACGTAATGCTTACACATAAGATCGCTATGAATTCATAAATTCTCCCCGACCGAGAGCATCCTTGTCCGCATCCGCATCCTCATCCGCATCCGCATTTTCTGCCACAAGCAAAACCGTGGCCACAACCACAGCATAACAACGGCATTGACAGTTAAATGAATGACTATGGGGGCAATGCCGTAGTCGAAGCCGATGCCGATGCTATAGCCGGAACTGAGGATAGTCCTCCTTCAGATTTCAGTTCCTGCTGCGGTGTCTGTGCACTCACAGAAATAAAGGGGACCAATGTAAAGACTTTTTAATTTTTTCCATAAGTAAATCAGTTATTTCCAGGTGGGAAATAGGATTAGTTACTCATAACATGCATACATTATTAGCTGTTTAAAAAATTACAATTAAATGTATGACAAGAAAATTTCCTAACTTAAGCTGATTAATTAGATAACCTGATTAACTGATTGCCAATAATTTTACTGTAAATAAATGGAAGCATGAACTGAATCCAACTTTTGTTTAAGCATTTTAAACGCTTCTTCCAATTTAAACAAATTTGTATTAAATAACAAAACCATCAAAGATATTAATTTTCGGCAAAAAACTCCTACATTATTCATCTTTTGAAGCTTGTTAGCTTGTAAATTGCTCGCTCAAAAAAGTGTTAATTGATTATAAAATGCTGTTTAGTAGTTTAGAGAGCGATGAGTTCTCTTGACTCTTGGGTGAAGAAAAAAGCTGAGACTTTTTTTCAGAGTGCCGCTGTGTATGTTGGTCCGCCTGTGGCTCGTGCTCCTCCATCTTGTTTTGCTACGTTTTGTTTGCTTGGGTATAATTTATGCAAATCTGTTAAAGTTTTGCCGTCATCGGGAAAGTTGCCGCTGTCAGTGGCGCTGCATAGTTTTATGGTATGCTGCTCCTCAGAAAATTGTAGGGGGACCGAAGTGTATATTCAATTTGCGTTTGTCTCGTACGAGACTCTGGGAATTGAATTGAACACATCAAATCTGGTATTCTGATTTCGGTTTTATGTTGTCTTGTGGGTTGTGAGAGCAAAGGAATTCAAAACTAACCAGAGTTGGCTCAACATAAAATGTGAAAAGTTTATGATTTGCATATGATGTAGTATTATTTGCGCATATAAAATATGTTGTTACCAGATGTAGGATTCCAAAATTGATTTAACTAGGAAGTGGTAAATTTAAAATATTTATTTAATTTAAAGATACAGAAAATATTGGTAACTATTTGCAAGAGGTATCAACAAAGTCTGTTTAGGATTTTTTTGAGCCTCCTCTTCGTGACTTTTTGTTGCCGTCATTAATATAATAAATAAAATGGGATTCCCGGTCCCGCGAACCCATGCATATATAAGTGCGTACACTAGTTTTACCGTTATATCCTTGTTGTTGTTTTTGACGTTGACATCGGAACAGTTTTTCGCAGTTTCCTCGACTTCGAAGAGGGTTCAGCGGTCTAAGGGCAGTTTTTAATGTTTTTATGCGGCAGGCTGTTTGAGCTTTTGCCGGAGTTTTGCTGAATAGCTTCATATTTATGCAAAGTTATGCGGCTTACAGATAAGTCGGCTAAGTTTTGCCCCCCTCAAAGAGAGGATGGGCCTAGATAAGGTGCGGTCAGAGGATATCGGGCCGGAATGTAATCGATGCCAGAAGTCCGAGCGAAACTTGCGCTAGATTTGCATGAAGAACAGATTGTGGTGTCCATGATCCATGGTATTCCCAACTATATACATCCTGCCGGATGGATGGTCTTCGCCCAGTTATTTATGTGCGGCCCAGGGTCCTTCCTTCAGTGCACTTTTAATTTCACATGACAAACTGTTCCTTCCCTCAGCCATTCTTCTGAAATGTGGGACAAACTTTGGCTCTGCGCTCTCTCTCTGGCAGCAAAACTTGTACCACGTTGCGTATACGCAACAAAGGAAGTGCCACAGGCCCGCAGGACTTGCTTGCTTGAATACCAAGTGAGAGAGGCTCTTCCCGGGCCGCCCAACAACAAGACCAACCATCTGCCACTCTAGCTAATTCCAAATTATATTAAAAACTTTCGTCTGTGTGTTCCTTTGCCTTGCTTTTTCATTATCTGGCGCCCAACAAAGGACCGAGCCTTCCAGCCAGGATGAATATGAAAAATGGCTAACAAACTACGAGTGGCGGCGGGTTAGCCAGGCTGCAGAAATAAACTCTCGCTCCCCGAAATCGCGACCCCGTTAAGGTCCAACGCTATTTGCATTGTCCGCTTGTTGCTACCCCACAAAAAAAAGAGTGGGGGCTAAGCTGAATTACCCTTTCGCCCCACTCCCATTATAAGGGGGCTGTGGCGTTTCGTAATTCGACACTCGGCCGCAGTAATCTTCGGCATTAGTTGCACTGAACTTCATTTGCCCAGTGGCAAGTAACTCGCTCGGAGAAACTGCCACGTGACGCTTGGTCGCCCATTTTGTGCTGTCTATAGTCTCGTAAAAAGGTTAAGGAATGGATACGAAATGCACAGGAGAAATATAAGAAATAAATGGGAATTTATGAGATAAAAATAAGTTAATTTTTAAAAGGTTATTATTGTCTTGTTATAATAATAATGAATGATTGAAAACTCTTTAAGGAAAATCAAAATTAAAAATCTTAATAAATATGTAATACATTATCAAATACCTTTTTTAGTCTGATCAGTTCTATGAATTTAAGTAAGGCTTGATAGACTTTAATTCATTTTATAGTAAAGGAACATAAATGAATGTTTAACCGGTAATTCCTCTAAGTTTTTTTTTCTCTGTGCATGTAAACAACGACAAGCAAAAGCCCGGACTACGTGCCTTTCTCACATTGATTTTTCGCCCATTTTGCCGCCCTGCTTGTTGGATTTTCCGACCTGTCCTCTCCTCCACCTTGCTGGCTGGCAGCACTTGACCGACCTCTTAAATTCGTTTAATGTTTAGTTAGGTCGAGCTTAGAGGCCCGTGCTTCAGCTGACAGGTCACGCTGACCTGGCGGCTCCCAAATTAATGGCCCGCCCTGAAGTGCTCTAAATTTTCCATATTTTTTTCCGTAGCGCACATTTTCCCTAATGAGTTTCGCTCCTACAGTTTCGTATTAAGTGTTCTCGAAATGTAATTATGCGATTTCTGGGCGGGTCCCCTTCTCCCCGCAAACAACTCCTCTGCATGGCAGTCATCTTTATAGACATTTATTTAATAAACTCGCATCCGTGAAATGCTCCTCTCGTTGGTGCCATGAAAAATGCAATTAAATACTTTCGGCTATTAAAATAAAAAAAAAAGAACTTTCCCCCGGAAGAAAGGGTTGAATATTCGGGGCGGGGGTGAAAATGCATTCCGCTCTGTTGCTACAGTGGTCGCCCTGGTGTGACCTAATAAAAAAATTATGCCAAACGAAAGTGAACGCCCAATGGCAAACGAGTTGCAGGGGAATCGAGAGTTGACCCTGTGCAAATTTTACAACCGCCGAAGGGGCAAACGGAGA